GGTTATGTCTTAATTATAATGACGAAAAGAAACCTGGGCTACCTCTTGTGGTGTGTGTGTGTGTGTGTGTGTGTGTGTGTGTGTGTGTGTGTGTGTGTGTGTGTGTGTGTGTGTGTGTGTGTGTGTGTGTGTGTGTGTGTGTGTGTGTGTGTGAGAGCTCCGGGTCCCAGACGAGGACCAGCTCACAGTACAGGTGTTCGGCTATAACTTCTTCAGGAACGTTAGGTCTGTTTAGGTACAGTCACATTTACGGAGTTCACTTTGCCGTTTACTGTACCATCTTACACCAACTAACCGAAGTACCTGTAGGGACCACCGTGAGCGTCCCGGTGGTCCGCGTCCCTCTACACGACTCACGCTACGCCCCCTTCACCAGTGTACAGTACACCCGACACTGGACGAGAAGGATGATCAAAGGTAAACCTTTTAACCTGACTTGTGATAGACTCCTGACCTGTGTCCCTAAGATGAGTTTGTGCTGCTCGGTCACAGTTGACAAAGATGCCGACTTCTGGCAGGAGACTATATTAAGGGAGACTGGCGTGAACAGGTACAGTACAGAACCTTACTATCACCAACACCTTGTTTACACAGCCCCGGAAGCCCGAGAAGTTCAAGAGTTATCAACAACACCCACGAGGCCACGGTCCAAACATTAGCATTGACTACACCATTGTTAGAGAAAGAGATCGTCATCATGTCCCCTCCAGACCATCAGGCGATAATCTTACCAGCTACGGACAGCAGCGAGATCCCACGGTAGTTGCCACAATCTGACCGGTGTCCCTTTTTCTTATAAATATTGACGATGGAGGCGTCTTTAAGAGCTTGGGGGATTTCCTCCTTTTCTCATACTGCATATTCTCAAGGAGAAAGTGGAGACGGCTGGTAAGCAGAGGTCCTCCTGCTTTTTTACACTTTGGCTGGGATTCCATCAGGCCTTGAGGCTTTGTTATTTTTCATCTGCTTGATGACAGTAGCACCCAGGGATGGAGGATAGCCGAGGTGGGTCAGCTCTGGATGCTGAGGGACCTGCTGGGTAGTCAGGACATCCACATCGGTGTTTCGGTTGAGCAGCGAATGGTAGTGCTCTTTCCTGCGCTGAAGGATGCCGTCTTCGTCTTTAATTAGAGTTACCGTCGGATGAGTGGAGGAGGGCTGCGCTTTGGTCCGAGACTGAGGGTTGTTTGTTCTGCCAGTCATTTAAAGCAGCACATTTATTATTGCCAAGTACATTGATTTCTGGTCATTTTCATCAAACCAGTCCTGGTGTATTATTTCGATCTGGCAGAGAGCCTCTTTGCAGGTTTTTGTCATGACAGTGTCGAGTATACCCCATTCGGCACTGGGATTTGGGTTGTTTGTTGTCGGGTTGTTTATCAGCCCATGTTCCAGCTGCTCTCTAAAAGCACGTGCTACAACTGGATCGTCCAAACGCTTTGCGTTAAAACCTTTTTTGGAGGCTTGTTGCCTTCGCCGTTTTAAGGCGACGTGAAGTAAGAATTTGGCTCTGACGAGCCGATGATCAGTGTTGCATTGGCCTGAGCCACGCATGGCTCGGGTGATGAGGACAACTCGGCGATCTCTTTCTCTGACAATAATGTAGTCAATGAGATACCAGCGTTTGGGTCGTGGGTGTTGCCACGAACCTGCCTGCCTGCCTAAACGAGGTATTGGTGACTGTGAAGTTGTGTGCAGCACACTTGATGAGGAGGAGTAGGTCATTGGGATTTCACTTGCCTTGTTCATTTTTCCCGATGGTTCCCTGCCAAATGTCAGCATCTCTGCCAACTCTGGCATTGAAGTCACCAAGGAGCACAACCTTATCTTCTCTGGGGATAGAGGTTACCACTCTGTCGAGGTCGGCGTACAATGCCTCCTTGATATCATCCTTTGCATCCAGTGTTGGGGCGTATGCACTGATGAAAAGGGCATGACGTGAGTGATTCAGTGAGACTGAGCGTCATGAGACACTCGTTGATCCCATGAGGTATTTCAGTTAGCCTGTGTAGGATGCGTTGGCAAATGGTAAAGCCAACTCCATAAATGCTGCTTCTCTCCACAGTAGGCTCACCCTTCCAGAAGAAGGTATGGCCAGACCCTCGTTCAGTGAGTCGACCCTCGTCTGGGAGCCGGGACTCACTAATGGCTGCTATGTCGATGTTATACCTAGTCAGCTCTTTTGCCACAAGGGCAGTTCTTCTTTCAGGACGCTCATTTGTGCCAGTATCCAGAAGGGACCTAGCATTCCACACACACACACACGCACACACGCGCTCGCAGTATAGGAGCCTCAGCTAGCTACACTCGGGTACACTTCTGACCAGTGGAGGAGCCTCAGTTAGCTACACTCGGGTACACTCTCATGACCAGTGAAGGAGCCTCAGTTAGCTACACTCAGGTACACTCTCATGACCAGTGAAGGAGCCTCAGTTAGCTACACTCACACCTCATGACCAGTGAAGGAGCCTCAAGCTACACTCGGGCACACTCATGACCAGTGAAGGAGCCTCAGTTAGCTACACTGGGTACACTCTCATGACCAGGAGGAGCCTCAGTTAGCTACACTCAGGTACACCCATGACCAATGGAGGAGCCTGTTAGCTACACTCAGGTACACTCTCATGACCAGTGGGAGCCTCAGTTAGCTACACTCGGGTACACTCTCATGACCAGTGACGGAGCCTCAGTTAGCTACACTCGGGTACACTCTCATGACCAGTGGAGGAGCCTCAGTTAGCTACACTCAGGTACACCCATGACCAATGAAGGAGCCTCAGTTAGCTACACCTGGGTACACCTCATGACCAGTGAAGGAGCCTCAGTTAGCTACACTCTGCACACTCATGACCAGTGAAGGAGCCTCCAGTTAGCTACACTCAGGTACACTCTCATGACCAGTGAAGGAGCCTCAGTTAGCTACACTCAGGTACACCCATGACCAGTGAAGGAGCCTCAGTTAGCTACACTCAGGTACACCTATACCAAACCACATGACCAGTGGAGGAGCCTAGTTAGCTACACTCAGGTACACACCCATGACCAATGGAGGAGCCTCAGTTAGCTACACTCAGGTACACTCTCATGACCAGTGAAGGAGCCTCAGTTAGCTCACTCGGTACACCTCTCATGACCAGTGAAGGAGCCTCAGTTAGCTACACTCGGGTACACTCTCATGACCAGTGGAGGAGCCTCAGTTAGCTACACTCAGGTACACCCATGACCAGTGAAGGAGCCCCAGTTAGCTACACTCCAGGTACACTCATGACCAGTGAAGGAGCCTCAGTTAGCTACACTGGGTACACTCTCATGACCAGTGAAGGAGCCTCATAGCTACACCTTCACACTCTCATGACCAGTGAAGGAGCCTCAGTTAGCTACACTCAGGTACACCCATGACCAATGGAGGAGCCTCAGTTAGCTACACCCAGGTATACCCATGACCACTGAGGAGCCAATTAGGCTACACCAGGTACTCACATGACCAGTGGAGGAGCCTCAGTTAGCTACACTCAGGTATACTTATGACCAGTGGAGGAGCCTCAGTTAGCTACACACGGGTACACTCTCATGACCAGTGAAGGAGCCCAGTTAGCTACACCAGGACACACCTCATGACCAGTGGAGGAGCCTCAGTTAGCTACACTCAGGCACTCTCATGACCAGTAGCTCAGAGTAAAGGAGCCTAGTAGCTACACTCAGGTACACTCTCATGACCAGTTAAGGAGCCTCAGTTAGCTACACTCAGGTACACCTCATGACCAGTGGAGGAGCCTCAGTTAGCTACACTCAGGTACACTCTCATGACCAGTGAAGGAGCCTCAGTTAGCTACACTCACCAGTTAGCTACACTCTACACATGACCAGTGAAGGAGCCTCAGTTAGCTACACTCAGGCACTCTCATGACCAGTGGAGGAGCCTCAGTTAGCTACACTCAGGTACACTCTCATGACCAGTGGAGGAGCCTCAGTTAGCTACACCAGGTGACACCCATGACCAGTGGAGGAGCCTCAGTTAGCTACACTCATACACTCTCATGACCAGTGAAGGCCTCAGTTAGCTACACTCACACCTCATGACCAGTGAGGAGCCTAGCCACCGGGTACACCTCATGACCAGTGAAGGAGCCTCAGTTAGCTACACTCGTAATCACATGACCAGTGGAGGAGCCTCAGTTAGCTACACTCAGGTACACTCTCATGACCAGTGGAGGAGCCTCAGTTAGCTACACTCAGGTACACTCCTGACCAGTGGAGGAGCCTCAGTTAGCTACACTCACACCCTGACCAGTGGAGGAGCTCAGTGCTCCACACCAGGCACCCATGACCAGTGGAGGACCTCAGTTAGCTACACTCGGGCACACCCTGACCAGTGGAGGAGCCTCAGCACACACCTGGGTACACTCTCATGACCAGTGAGGAGCCCCAGTTAGCTACACTGGTACACTCCTGACCAATGGAGAGCCTCAGTTACTACACCGGGTACTACATGACCAGTGGAGGAGCCTCAATTAGCTACACTGGGCATACCTGACCAGTGGAGGAGCCTCAGTTAGCTACACTGGTACACCCATGACCAGTGGAGGAGCCTCAGTTAGCTACACCAGGTACACTCTCATGACCAGTGGAGGAGCCTCAGTTAGCTACACTCGGTACACTCCTGACCAGTGGAGGAGCCAGCTAGCTACACTCGGGTACTCACATGACCAGTGGAGGAGGCCTCAGTTAGCTACACCTGGGTACTCACATGACCAGTGGAGGAGCCTCAGTTAGCTACACGGTACTCACATGACCAGTGGAGGAGCCTCAGTTAGCTACACTCGGGTACACCTCATGACCAGTGGAGGAGCCCAGTTAGCTACACTCGTACACTCCTGACCAGTGGAGGAGCCTCAGCTAGCTACACTCGGGTACACTCCTGACCAGTGGAGGAGCCTCAGTTAGCCACACTCGGGTAAGGAAGGAAGAACACCTAACAATATAATAAATGAAGGACGTGGTTTGTTTGCCAAAGTTTATTGCATGGAAATTCAAGCCATGTGTTAGTGTGTGCTGGACAGTAGGGAAGGTTCATCTTGCGAGAGACCCGGGAATAGTGGTGATGAAAATATCGATAGTTCTTCTTGTACTTGTTGATGTTGTTGGAAGTGTGTGTGTGTGTGTGTGTGTGTGTGTGTGTGTGTGTGTGTGTGTGTGTGTGTGTGTGTGGGTGTGTGTGTGTGTGTGTGTCTCCGTCCACTGGTTTTCGCGTCGGGGCTACTACGGGCGGCTCACACCCGCTGCAGTCACTATCTTGACTCGAGCGAAGAACGATGTGTTTTGTGGGAAGACTGCTGAAGGTGCCGAGAGAGAGCCCAGGGAACTCCTCCTCTGGGTGTTCTTGAAAGAGTAAATAAAGGGAGTCCTTAGCGGCATTCACGAATGTTCTTTTTTAGATGCGTTCCTTAGTGAGACCAAGTTCCGTCAGTGTGGTGTGGCGCTGCTCCTGCCGCTAGAACTGGCTGATACACACTCTGTACGTGTCCATCTGTGGGGGGAGAGGTGTGAGGCTGTTACGGTCTGGCACAGTGTGTTGATGTGTCGGTATAGAGAGAGGCAACGCAACCATTACTTGGGGATTAATGTAATTTTATCATATGTTGATGTGAAGAGAGAATGACACCTACAGTATACAACAATCCTTCAGTGACACACACACACACACACACACACACACACACACACACACATACACACACACACACTTACTAAGCCGCTCAGCTCCATCAGGCAGGAGATCATGGGCAGGAGCTGGTCGTCGGGGATGCCCAGGAGTCGTAAGAGGTTTTCGGGTCGTCCGTGATGGCGCCCCCGTGATCGTCCGTATTGGCGGCTCCATGATTGTCTGCGGAATCGTCGGCTGCCTCGTCCGAGTCCATGTGGCCCGCGTCCTCCCCCAAACACTGCGTCACGACCACGATACATTACACCAGTCGTTCTGATAGTCACGACCCCTACAGTCTTAAACAGTTTTTATCTACATTTCCTCTTGTTTAACTTTGAAGGATTGAAGGAGGATGGTTTAACTCCTGGGATTAAGGGACAATGGTTTAAATATTTGAGGGACTGAAAGACGATGGTTTAACTCCTGAGGTAGTGAGGTATTTTTAGTAGAGTGTTTAAGACGTCATCAGAGTTAGTGATGTACGAGTACTTAACACACAACCAATTATATTAAGTACTGTATATATCATTATAATAATATAATAATGGATACCCGGTGCAAGGGCCACCTAGGCGTGAATTTTTTTAAGGTATAGAAGCTGTCGGCAACACAACAACCACACCCTGAGTTAATGAGTTGCAAGACCCAGTGTCAAGGAATAGTCCGAGAAGACCGGACAACTCGCCAACTGCACTGGCTAACCATTACCCCAGAACACGGGGTAATGGTGTGGTGGGTGGGTGGGGGGGTATCTAGCCATTAGGTAAATAAGATAAGATAGTAGAGCAATATGGACGTATACTTACAGTTTCCTTCGGAGCTGGTGGTGGATAGAAACGAATCCGGGAGGGTGATGTTAATTTGGAGATTGGAGGCACAGAGAGTTATGTTCTCTTTCGTCTCGATTTTGAAGGCTGTTATATTTGAAGGTAATTCCTGCTTCAGTTCTTTAAGGCAAGTCATTTGGTTATTTAGACAGATCGATGTATCATTTAATTGGCACTCCTCCAGCGCTGGTGACGAAGAGGAGGGAGGAGAAGGTATTGTTAGTACAGGTATTTTAGTTTGTTTAAGGATGTGTACAGTATCAAGTAATCTAGCCTATCTTACTACTAACACACTCTTCTTCCTTGATCATCACCAACACTCTTCTTCCTTGATCATCACTAACACTCTTCTTCCTTGATCATCACCAACACACTCTTCTTCCTTGATCATCACTAACACTCTCCTTCCTTGATCATCACTAACACACTCTCCTTCCTTGATCATCACTAACACTCTCCTTCCTTGATCATCACTAACACACTCTCCTTCCTTGATCATCACTAACACACTCTTCTTCCTTGATCATCACTAACACACTCTTCTTCCTTGATCATCACTAACACACTCTTCTTCCTTGATCATCACTAACACTCTCCTTCCTTGATCATCACTAACACACTCTTCTTCCTTGATCATCACTAACACACTCTCCTTCCTTGATCATCACTAACACTCTCCTTCCTAGTCATCACTAACACACTCTTCCTTGATCATCACTAACTTTACTCTTCCTCCTTGATCATCACTAACACACTCTCCTTCCTTGATCATCACTAACACTCTCCTTCCTTGATCATCACTAACACACTCTCCTTCCTTGATCATCACTAACACACTCTTCTTCCTTGATCATCACTAACACCTCTTCTTCCTTGATCATCACTAACACTCTCCTTCCTTGATCATCACTAACACACTCTTCCTTGGATCATCACTAACACACTCTCCTTCCTTGATCACTACTAACACATTCTCCTTCCTTGATCATCACTAACACACTCTTCTTCCTTGATCATCACTAACACTCTCTTCCTTGATCATCACTAACACTCTCCTTCCTTGATCATCACACACCTCTCCTTCCTTGATCATCAAAAACACTCTCTTCTTCCTGATCATCACTAACACACTCTCCTTCCTTGATCATCACTAACACCTCTTCTTCCTTCATTACCATTATCACACTCACCACTCACACACTCCTCATGTCCCTACACTACATCAATACTTACTCAAATTTGTAATGATTTCTATTTTGTTCCTAAAGGAACCGCCACATTGAGCACCCTCACGATGCAGGTGGCGGTGGGCGTGTATAGACAGCACTAGCAGCGTCACCGTCAGGAACACAGAAATCAACACCTTCATGCTGCAGGCTTAGAGCACACTGGGGGAAGAGGGAGGGGGTTGTGAGTTATGTAGAGGAGCACTGATGTATGTTATGTATGTATGTCAATGGGTGGTAAGGGGGTAGATCTCATTTTACGGGGCAGAATTAGGGTTAGTTTTCAGAGCTTACCTGCTGGAGCGGCAGAGTTCACGGTGAGGTTAGAGATTCACCTGTAGAAGGATAGGACACTCGAGGCCGTTAACTGTGGTGGTGCAGGCCAGAGTGTGTGTGTGTGTGTGTGTGTGTGTGGGGTCCCCGGAGACCTCATATATATATACACCTCTCTGGTGTCCGGTTGGTACATTATGCCGTCATCCCGGCTACGCCGATGACTGGTAAAATCTCGTTCAAACAGCATTTGTGTCCAGTATATAGCCGGAAGTGTGTGTGTGTGTGTGTGTGTGGTGTGTGTGTGTGTGTGTGTGTGTTGTCCCAACCTAGGATCTGCCTTAATTGTATTACCGTCTATACGTCATGTACAGCGCAGCAAACTTTTCACATGTGTTGATTTCCGGGATTTATTGTTATATGGCATGAACTGACGGAATAAACTCTGCTCTGTCATCAACGTAAATTGAGGTTGTTAAAGAATGACGTAAGCTGTGTCTTCTGCCTGACTGTCGGTAACACTTCAGCTGGTGTGTGTGTGTGTGGTTCATCAATAATAATAATAATAATAATAATAATAATAATAATAATAATAATAATAATAATAATAAGCGGTTCATTAATAGCATGGCAGCCAAAAGGCTGAAAATATACAGTTACATAATTGGGGAATGAGTGAGTCACTTGATTGACAAATAATATACAAGTAACACAAGTGATACAAATATGATGTATAATAATAAGGTGGAGAGGTTATACTACAGGGCATTTCAACATAGTGGCAGTACCAAAATGTAAGATTGACTGGGTGAAATACACTGGTTGACTGCGAGTTGTTGATAATTTTTACAATGGTTGGGACTAGGCTGTTCTTGTAGCGATCAGTACGTGCTTGTATGGCCTGGATGCGGTTAGGTGTCGAACAGCAATTCAAGAGCGAGGGATCTCGGGTGAAAGCAAGAGCCGGTGTCGAGGATGGTGCAGAAGCTTTTCCCCTAATTTGCAGATGAGGTCGTGGTGATGGTCAGAGAGAGCCGAGAGGGTCAGTGTGTTGAGCGCTTCTTGATGTGTGGAGAGAAGGGAGAGAATAATCTTGTACGCCCCTTTTTGCACCCTTTTTAGCCTGTGGGCATTTACGGAGGAGACCAGGTAAGAGGAAATAGGTGAGCTTGGGAAGTATGAATGTTGAGTAAACACTGAGGAGCTTCGGGCGCAGGAACCTGAGGGACTTGAGTCGGCGGAGGAGGTGTAGACGAAAAATTGACAGCTGTACTGACGTGTGGTTTCCAATTTAATTTGGCATCTGCAGACGCCGATGATTTGGAAGAAGGCCCCAATGGGAGTGTGTGTGTGTGTGTGTGTGTAATAATAATAATAATATAATTATAATAATAAATAATAATTAACGGTTTATTGAAAGAGCTGCGCTTGTTAATAATGGGTTTCGAAATAAATAATATACAAATAACATAAGTGATACAAATAAGATATACAATAACTAGATGGGGAATAGTCAAGGGCATTTCAACATAGAAGAAGTAGTATACTGGGAGATAATCACTGGTTTATTAAAAGTTATTGATTATTTTTACATATGGTATTGGGCTGTTCTTCATATCGTCGCATGCATGGGCTGGATGTTGTGGTGTCGAACAGCAATTCTCGGGCTAGGGATCTCAGGTGGTAGTAGGAGCGGTGTCGAGGATGGTACAGAAGCTTTTACCAAATTTGCAGATGAGGTCGTGGTGATGGTCAGTGAGAGTCGAAAGGGTCAGTGTGTTGAGCGCTTCTTGATACGTGGAGTAGGAAGGGGAGAGAATAATCTTGCATGCCCTCTTTTGCACTTTTTCTAGGTGTTTACGTTGTGTGGCATTTAGGGAGGAAGACCAGATAGGGGAGGCATAGGTGAGCTTGGGAAGTATGAATGTTGAGTAAACACTGAGGAGTTCGGGTGCAGGAACTCCGAGGGACTTGAGTCGGCGGAGGAGGTGGAGACGGAAACTGGAGGATTTGACAACTTCACTGACGTGTGGTTTCCAATTTAGTTTGTTGTCTATGGTGACGCCGAGGAGCTTCGTGGAATCTACAACCTGGAGTGTGTTCGGACCTAAAGTTATGGAAGGAGGTGGGACAATGTCGGAGGAGAGGTTGAAGTGCATAGCCATGGTCTTGGTATGGTTGATGGTGACATGGTTGTTGATGGCCCAGTTTTGGAGAGTGTTCAATAAATCCTGAAGGGCGGTATAGTCGGGAGCAGAATTGTTGACGCTGATCCCAATAGTGTTGTCGTCGACATATTTCCAGCGAGCAGGGGTTTCTCTTAGGGCATCATTGATTAGCATAAGGAAGCAGAGTGGTCCCATCTTGGTGCCTTGGGGGACGCCACAGGTGAGTGACTGAAAGGTGGAGACAGCCCCTCGGAAGCGTACAGCTTGGCGTCGGTCACTGAGGAAGTCTGTAAGCCATGGTATAAGACTTCTCCGAAGCCCGAGGTCAATAGCTTTGTTGATGATTATATTGTGGTCGACTTGGTCGAATGCTTTAGTGAAATCAATGAAGGCGACAGCTACAGACGTTTTGCGTTTCTCGAGATGGCGGTATATGTAATCGAGAAAGCTGACAAGACAGTGAGTGGTGGAGGAAGTTTTCATATTGCCATATCCTGTCTTCTACTGTCATATCCTTACCTTCTCCCATATCCTGTCTTCTACTGTCATATCCTTGTCTTCTTCCATTATATCCCTGTCTTCTTCTGTCATATCCTTGACTTCTAATGTCATATCCTTGTCTTCAAATGTCATATCCCTGGTTTTCTTCTGTCATATCCTTGTCTTCTACTGTCATATCCTTGTCTTCTTAGTGTGTGTGTGTGTGTGTGTGTGTGTGTGTGTGTGTGTGTGTGTGTGCGTGTTTTTGTTTGTTTTAAGTATAAGGCGTCCCACATACCATGACACCATAGACTCAGGCTATATTGTATATATTGTTAGGAATGGTTGAAAATGCATCAGATTGTAACAAAAAATAATTATTGTTCTATGGAAATTCAATAAACATTTGGTTGCAATTTGATCTATTTTCAACCATCCTAACAACATCATACAGTGAGACAACCTGTACCTGTGTACGGAAGCTTCGGTATCGCTACAAGTTTTGAAGTGAAATAATAATTGGAGGATATGAAAAAAGGTGACAAGGATAATAGAAGATGACAGATATGACAGTAGAAGACAGGGTATGAGAGAAGATAAGGATATGGCAGAAGAGAGGATATGACAGTAGAAGATAGGATATGACAGTAGAAGACAGGATATGACAGAAGGTAAGTATATGATAGTAGAAGACAAGGGTATGACAGTAGAAGACAGGGATATGACAGAAGATAAGGATATGATAGTAGAAGACAGGATATGACAGAAGAAGACAATAATATGACAGTAGAAGACAAGGATATGACAGAAGAAAAACAGGGATATGACATTTGAAGACAAGGATATGACAGTAGAAGACGAGGATATGACAGAAGAAGACAGGGATATGAGAGAAGGTAAGGATATGACAGTAGACGACAGGGATATGAAAGAAGAAGACATGGATATGGCAAGAAGACAGGATATGACAGTAGAAGACAAGGATATGAGAGAAGGTAAGGATATGACAGTAGAGGACAGGATATGACAGTAGACGACAGGGATATGAAAGAAGAAGACAGGGATATGACAGGAAGACAGGATATGACAGTAGACGACAAGGATATGAAAGAAGAAGACAGGGATATGACAGGAAGACAGGATATGACAGTAGAAGACAAGGATATTTAAGAAGAAGTCAGGGATATGACAGGAAGACAGGATATGACAGTAGACGACAAGGATATGAAAGAAGATGACAAGGATATGACAGGAAGACAGGATATGACAGTAGAAGACAATAATTTGATAGAAAAAGACAAGCATATGACAGTAGAAGACAAGGATATGACAGAAGACAGGATATGACAGTAGAAGACAGATATGACAGTGGACGACAAGGATATGACAGAAGAAGACAGGATATGACAGGTGTTTCATGCCTATTATGGTATACAAGAGGAGGAAGTTGACTCCCGTCGATTGTCTCTCTCTCTCTCTCTCTCTCTCTCTCTCTCTCTCTCGTTTACCTTTGCTCACCTGTATTCATGTTCGCCAGACTTGTTATTTTTTTGTATTTTTCATTTATTTATTTATTTTTACTGATTATGGTTGTTGACAAAACGTTCTCACTATTTTGGGTCAACATTGGAGAAATAATAATAATAATAATAATAATAATAATAATAATAATAATAATAATAATAATATAAACAGTCAAGTAAATATTATTGTGTTGTTAATGACGTTACCTTAATCACGGGCTTGATGAATGACTAATACACCTGTTTCTTACTCTTTTAGGTGAGTATTAGCGCGACTGTTGACTGGTAACTGTGAGTAATGAGTGGTTATGTTGTTGTTCATGATCACCGGGTTAAGGTAAGTGTTCTTCGTTGTGTTCTGTTGTGGTGAGATGACTTTGTTACAACTCTTAAGGTAAAACGAATATAAGAACAAGAACTGTGATTGGAATTGGAAAAAAAAGTCAATTGAGATGTAACATGTCTTCGTTTAGTAACCAATGTGTCTTGGTACATTCACCTATACAAACCTTGTCTCCTCTCTTCCTGAACCACGAACCCGGGGATTCAGATTCGTGAACCCGAAGCAGTAGACTGATACATTAATATCCTTATATATGCTTCGGATTCATGACTCACAGTCTCGGGGTTCGTGGTTCAGCAGGAGAGGCGACAGGACTTGTGTGGGTGACTGTGCTGTATACATTGAGTTAAGGCGGTTCTGTGGGAGTTTTGTTTACTGTACGAGAGGCTGTTGGTGTGTTACAGAGCGTGATGTATGTTGCTACACGTCTTCCCTTGTATAATGTTATATAGCTCATGATGACAATGGGTATGTTTGGGTTATTTGGTGTGTGTGTGTGTGTGTGTGTGTGTGTGTGTGTGTGACATTTTCTGAAATATTTTGAGTAATTTTTTTTTTACTGTTTCATTGGCGTGGCGAGACAGCAGCCGTAGCCTCTGCCAGTGTGTGTATGTATCAATAAAACACTCGTATGGTTCAATAGTTGACATTTTATTTCAAAGAAGTTATTGTGATGTATATGAAACCGATAAAATGAAAGTCAAAACGAAGTGTAACTAAAATTTAAAGTCTTGTCGATTACTTTCGCCAAGTTTCAATAAAACTAAATGCACCGTTACCACCAGGACCTCTAATGGTACACAGTAAACACAGCAAAACACAGGTCAGTCTTCACGAGAGGTCAGGAGGTAGCTCAGGGTGGTCAGGTGGTGGCTAATGTTGACACCTCACCAGTTGGGGGCACTGTCTATCCCAGGTGTCCTGAGAGACGGTGCTGGTGTTGCCTTCACTAATGCTGTGACGTCACCACGTTGTTGCTACAAGTATGACGTCACGAGGTGTGGGCGTCTGGACTTATATGGAGACGACGTTGATGCATGACTTTATTAAGCACTTAAACATATCCTGGTCAAGAGAAGAGTTAGTGTGCGTTAGTCACGGATTGTTGTACATCAGTAATTGGTTGACATTTAACATAGTATATTACAACAAACCGTTTGACAATGAGTGAAATTATAAATATATTCGTTGACTCATGAAACTAAATCACGTTTAAGATGGCTCTCTACCTTACCGGCATTACGTTATTAGCAAAGCAGTTGTCGAATCGATCAAGTACTTCTGTCTTTACTTCCGTGTTGTTGATGCCCTCGAGGTGTGAGTGAAGATGCTGAAAGACAAACACACGGGACATGTTAACCAATGGAGTATATTCAGCGGACTTCAGATACATTCTCACTGTTGCCTGACATAATGTGGTCAAAAAGAGCTGATGAACGACAACAAAGGCTGGGGTAGGTGGGTGGGGAGGGGTAGAGAGGGCAGTTTCACTCACCGGTTTCATACAAGTCTTCATGGTGATGTGGTCGTCAGGGGTCATGGTGGCGTGGTGAGGACAACCTGTAAGGTGAGGGTGAGGCAGTCATTATGGCAAACAATAATAGATCACTTTATTTCCCTTAAGATTTTGTCTCCCCTAATAGACTTTATCTCCCCTAATAGACTATATATCTCCCCTAATAGACTACCTCTCTTAAAAAACACATCAAATACCGATATATGAAGCCACCAGGAGAACATACACTGATAACAAAGATACCAGTAGAAATAGATTAGGTCCCAACACAAACACTTTGGGAACGCCACTTTTATTTAGACAAACGATTTTTATTAATTTTTTTCACCTCAAAGGGGAAGCCCCGAACACAAGGGGTTAATTAAGGACATACATACCTTTAAGTTTGGACATACAAATCTCCATGTGCTGGTGCATCGCCTCGTTAGGGCGGAGCAGCTGGTGGCATTTATCTGAGCGAGTCTGGCAGTCCGGTACCTCTAGACTCAGACACACGTCCCACTCTACAACAGTGATTAGATTATGGTTAATGTTAACACACACACACACACACGCACACACGCACACACACACACACACACACACACACACACAAGATAAACTAAGAACATAAATAAATTATAATAATTAAAAAAAATTTACATGGAAAATGAATTATTAAATTATAAGACGACTACCTACATATAACCTCTCTCTCTACTCACTCATCATAGGCTGGCCCCTTGCTTTAGAGCCATGGCCATACATTCTTGTACTTGGCCGGACAGTCAGGGTATGGTGGCTTTAGTACACTGTCTCCTCTGTGGGTCAAGATGGTACAGTAGTTAGAGTGGTGATATGTTAGGGTCACCGAATATCACCCCCCCTACCCTATCTTGTGTAACTTATTTCACCTGATTACTAAACTCTCTAATGTTAACTGGAGGGGTTAGGTTAGGTGTGAGTTGTGTGTGTCACTCACCGTCAGGAGGCCCCCTTGGCCCTGGTTTCAGCAGAGTCATACACTCCATCATTTTAGCTCGGCAGTTTGGCTCTGGCTCCGACTCTGGCTCCGACTCTGGCTCTGACTCTGGCTCCGACTCTGGCTCCGACTCTGGCTCTGACTCTGGCTCCGACTCTGGCTCCGACTCTGGCTCTGACTCTGGGTACGATTCTGGCTCTGACAATGACTCTGAATGAGGTACTTTGTCTGGATTCGATACTGGCTCTGGCTCTGGCTCCGACATTGATTCTGGCTCTGGATATGGTGACCATCCTCCCATTCCTGGCTCCGGCTCTGAAGGGACACACACAACACTGATTACTTTATCATTATAAGTGTAAGTGTGAGTTTAAGTGTGTGTGTGTGTGTGTGTGTGTGTGTGTGAGATATTTACCAATGTACTAAGGACGAATAATTAATACGTTAAGAAAATAAGAACAATGGTGACGTGAAGACAGTGGATGTGAAGACAGTAGATGTGAAGACAGTAGACGTGAAGACAGTAGACGTGAAGACAGTAGACGTGAAGACAATAGACGTAAATACAGTAGATGTGAAGACAGTAGACGTGAAGACAGTAGACGTGAAGACAGTATACGTGAAGATATAAAACAAGACAAGAGAGTTTCAAGTGTAGAGTGAAAATCTCGGTGGCGAGAAGAAAAGACCATTCCACACAGACATTATTGGAACCAAAGAAATTGGTCCTAAAATGATATCCAGTAGACTCTAATTATTGTAATATACAGTATATAATTATAGCTGAGGTGCCTATAATTCCAATTTTGGTGAAAGTTATAGAGATGATCCCTTAAACCGGAATATAATATAGGTAGGCCAAAGGGTGAATGATGTATAGTGCCAATTAGGTGCCGTTAAGACAGGTGAGGTGCCAAGACGTGTACATACCTGGCATTAATTCCAACATCAGTGCATCACACTTTTTGAACTTCTCGTGGCACTCCGTCTGTCCTTCCCCGCACACCATCGTGGCTGTGGACCAGAGTAAAGACTGTTAACTGTGTACTGGAGACTGTTAACTGTGTACTGAAGACTGTTAACTGTGTACTGGAGACTGTTAACTGTGTACTGAAGACTGTTAACTGTGTACTGAAGACTGATAACTGTGTACTGAAGACTGTTAACTGTGTACTGAAGACTGATAACTGTGTACTGAAGACTGTTAACTGTGTACTGAAGACTGATAACTGTGTACTGAAGACTGTTAACTGTGTACTGGAGACTGTTAACTGTGTACTGAAGACTGTTAACTGTGTACTGGAGACTGATAACTGTGTACTGAAGACTGTTAACTGTGTACTGAAGACTGATAACTGTGTACTGAAGACTGTTAACTGTGTACTGAAGACTGATAACTGTGTACTGAAGACTGTTAACTGTGTACTGAAGACTGATAACTGTGTACTGAAGACTGATAACTGTGTACTGAAGACTGATAACTGTGTACTGAAGACTGTTATCTGTGTACTGAAGTATGACTTACCTGTGGGAGGCCCGAGGGGTGGTGCACCTTCAGGAAGCATCATTTGGACACAGCTCACGACCTCCTCCTCACAGTTGGGTTTGTCAGAGGTGGCGCAATTGAGCTTAGCTGTAGGGAGAGGTGGTGGAGGTGTATTTTTGAGTAGTTTCCCAAATGAACGTAAAGGATCATTTGCCATAACAGTTTAGTGTGATTTTGTTTATGATGGATGAGCTACAATAAGTACAGAATTTATAAGTTACTTGACACTAAACACTACATGAAAGGGATTATATATTTGGTAGTGTATGTGTTTATTGTAAGTGGAAAATGGTTAGGAGCAGTGTAGAAGCTGCATATTGAACCAGTGGCGAAGAGTGCCGACCAGTGACGACCCGTGACGAAGTAAATTAATAAATCTCAACAAGAAATGTTAGAGAAAACTGACCTATATGTGAAGGATCAGGCTTCATCATCTCTATACACTGCATGACCTCCTGCTGACAGGATGGCTGCGGTCTGTCACGACAGATGACGTCCACTGCCAAAGAGAAAACTTAACTAATACACTTGTCTGAAGTGATGTACAGTAGTGATCATGCTATCTGGAGTATAGTATACAGTTAACTGTATCACTGGTTATCTGGGTGTAGTGTGTAGGACCAGGTGCCACTTACTGTCAGGAGGGCCACCGGCTGAAGACGCCATCAACATCGCGCAATGCAGCTTAGACGCGCACTCTGGGTCTTGTTCTTGTGTATCTAAACACATTTTAGTAACTGGAGGGAGAGACCAAAATATATGAGTCTCAAATATTTGTAAATGATCTGTATTGTAAATATTTGTTACATGATAAAGATAACTGAAGCTATGATGACACGAATATAGTTAGTGTGGGGGAAATGGCTAAGTGTCCCCTTCCCCACCCCCGAGTTCAGCCGTTTTCTGTGGTGGGGGATCGTCCAGAGGTATAGCGGGGACTACAGCAGTGAAGATATTCGGCAGTATTTGACGGCCATGTTGTTGTCAAAATTTGTTAGTGGACAGTGTAAAAAAAAAAAAATGCTAAACAAACAAAAATAATAGAATTGAGGTAAATTTTACATAATATAAGAGACGGACATAATATGGGTGTACAGTATAGTCAAAGCTCGACGCAACTGATGCATTTAATTATATCTGAATAAATATGCAGCAGTTGTTTGTAAAAGAATTATGAAAACAACAAAATGCCACTACATTTAAAAGACTAAAATATGGCTAAGGTAATATAACCAAATCTTAAAAGACTACAGAGTGGCAATAGTGACTAAGTAAGCTACAAACAATAATAAAACCAACTGTATTCGTCGTTATTCGGTAGAGGGCCGGCGGGTTGAATGAGCTCCAGGCACTGTATGAACCTCTCGTGGCACTCTCTGGGGGCTTCCGGGCCACACACAGACGTCACTGTGGGGTAGAAATAAGATCACCTAACTTAATGTGGGTTACTACCAGACAGTTCTACCCTCCTGGAAATATGCATCTGAAAACCTTGTCGATTACCGTGGGTCAAATTGCCTTACTGTTTACTAGTATTGTTTACCTACATTGTCTTGGGTTCATAGGAAACTGTATACTCCCACGGTCTACGTACACCATATACCTACATTGTCTATATTCATGATCAACTGTATACCTGTATGGTTTATAAACTGTACATGTCTATCCAATTGTGAACCTGTATGACAAATTTACTGAATTATTATTATTATTATTATTATTATTATTATTATTATTATTATTATTATTATTATTATTAAGTCTGAAGTGTTGTCTCTTACACCAGTACACTGCCTTTAACATCAATACACTGCCTCCTACACCCATGACCTGAGCTCTGATATATACACATCATACTGAGGTGTATACTACATTAGTGGGTTGGCGTCGGTTAATGGTGTAATTGTGACTCATAGGTGTAAATAAACTGGAGAATGTACAGTCCCCTTCACTTGTGCGTTTACAGAGACTTGTCCTATAAACATTCCACAAATCATTACATTGAGATATTTGTTTTAATTTTGTTTTACTTTGATTCCATAGTATGTTCACTATTGCGGGTTTCCTTCTGTCGAATGTAAACAAACACAGGACTGTCACACTGCACAAAACCTGACGAGCCCCTGTAAACGCAGTAGTGAAGGGGGACTATACCTGATTGTCTTAGGGTGTACATGACTAACTTAAGGTGTACCTGACTATCTTACGGTGTACTTGGAGGTGTACCTGACTTAACTTAGGGTTTACTTGGTGGTGTACCTGACTTAACTTAGGGTGTACTTGGAAGTGTACCTGACTTAACTTAGGGTGTACTTGAAGGTGTACCTGACTTAACTTAGGGTGTACTTGGAGGTGTACCTGACTTAACTTAGGGTGTACTTGAAGGTGTACCTGACTTAACTTAGGGTGTACTTGGAGGTGTACCTGACTTAACTTAGGGTGTACTTGGAGGTGTACCTGACTTAACTTAGGGTGTACTTGAAGGTGTACCTGACTTAACTTAGGGTGTACTTGGAGGTGTACCTGACTTAACTTAGGGTGTACTTGGAGGTGTACCTGACTTAACTTAGGGTGTACTTGAAGGTGTACCTGACTTAACTTAGGGTGTATCTTACCCTCTGGCGGCCCGGTTGGTTCTCCAGGGTAGAGGAAGCCCATGCACTCCTCCACTTGAGTCTCACAGTTGGGCACGTCCTTAGTGGAACATAACTCCTGGACTGTGGAAACAAATATGAAAGTCCTAAGGAAAACATACCAAGTTGTTTTCGTTTATAGATAACAAAGTATGGGGGTGGTTAGGTAAGGTATGACATGGTGGTTAGGTAAGGTATGATATGGTGGTTAGTTAAGATGATAAGGATGATAATATATTGCTAATGATTTAAAATGGTCATCATACTCATCATACTATGCTAATATTTATGATAGTTAGGACGATAATATAGTGGTAATGATATAAATTGGTCATCATACTCATCATACGCAGGTAAAATGATAATTAGTTAGGATAATAAGAATGATAATACAGTAGTAATGAGGTAACGAGATATACAAGTAACTCACAAGGGGAGAAGGTGTTCACTTCTTCGCTGGGCACTAAGAGAGCCATACAGTCGGTGACCCTGGTCCAGCAGTCTTGAATTCCTTCACTACACAGGTTTTCGACTAGGGGGAGGGGGTACACGTGGTCAAAACTTCATTTATATAAAGGACACGTGGTCTAAAATGAATTTATATAAAGTACACGTGGTCTAAAATTTATTCACATACAGTACATGTAGTCAAAACTTCATTCATATAAAGGACACGTGGTCAAAACTTTATTCGCATACAAGACACGTGGTCAAAACTTTATTCGCATACAAGACACGTGGTCAAAACTTTATTCGCATACAAGACACGTGGTCAAAACTGCATTCTCATAAATATAATACTTTGACAGTCTAGCAAACAGTATTTAATAATCCCAGTAAGTGTGAGAACCATGGATCAAACATTGGCTCTGATATACGCTCGTTGACAATGACCTAAGTTAGACAGACAGACAGACAGCTAGATAGATAGATAGTTAAGGTTTAATCAGATGAAATAAAACAATGTTCCTTAATTCTTCACGTAATCCAGGTTGTGTTACAGTCAATCAACTTACTATCTGGAGTTCCACCAATATTGTCAGGTCCCATGTTGAGCCAGGTCATGCAATCCTCCACCCGGGTCTCGCAGTCTGTCACCTCCGGCTTGCCAGAACACACACTTCTAACTGGAGGTGGGTTAGAAACGGAGCGATATAGTGATAACAGGGCATAGTTAACGCGTATTATATTGTACTGTAGTTCAAATTAATATCAGTGGGCACTTCTGGTTGTATTATTTGTATTATTATTATTATTATTGATAAGAGGAGTTAGAGGAAGCCAGCAGTTAAAGATATATGAAAAGATATAAGAAATACCTTTGATAAGAAGGTAAGTGTGTGTGTGTGTTGACAGTGACCTTCACAAACCAATACCTTAGTAAGTCAGACCCTTTCATGGCCTGTTGACGGAGGGAGCGGGGAGGGAGGGGGGGGGGCAGATACACGCAGGTAGAGGGACAGACAGACAAGACAGATACAAGCGAAGGAGGGGCAGGTTAACAGAAGGTGTGTGTGTGTGTGTGTGTGTGTGTGTGTGTGTGTGCGTGTGCGATTCACCTTTTTTTGAGTCTGCTTATTGATGATATTTGTTGTGATTTTAGGTTAGGTTAATAAATTTTGAAATACCTGACTAAGGTAGACTAGATGGTGATAATGATGAAGATGATGATGATGATGAGGAGGAGGATGAAGACAATATGAAGAAAATGATGATGGTGATGATGAAGACAATAATGAAAAAAAATTATGTTGCTGATGATGATGATGATGAGGAAGAAGACAATAATGATGATGATGATGAGGAGGAAGAAGACAACATGAAGAAAATGATGATGGTGATGATGAAGACAATAAGTACGATGATGATGTTGATAGTGTCACCATACTCACCATAAGACTTGTAGACCATGCTCACAATCTCAAGAGGAGCCGGTTCACCCAGTTGTCCAGACGGTAACCCCTGCACCACACTCCCCACCAGCAGCGCCCCGGTCACCAGCATCCACGCCGTCATCTTCACCATCCACCACCACAACAGGAACTGGGGAAAGTACCATAACAATATCTAGGGGAAGTACCATAATATTAACTAGGGCGGGTACCACAAAAAAAACTGAGGGAAGTACCACAGCAATAACTGGGGGAAGTACCACAACATTAACTGGGGTAAGTACCACAACATTAACTGGGGGAAGTACCACAACATTAACTGGGGTAAGTACCACAACATTAACTGGGGGAAGTACCACAACATTAACTGGGGTAAGTACCACAACATTAACTGGGGGAAGTACCACAACACTAACTGAGAGAAAGACCATAACATTAATGGGGGAAGTACTTAGCCTCGGAGATGTAAACAGTTAACAAGATAACAGATGAACAACGTTGTTATAAAGAAATCCGAATGTGAGAAAGATTAAGGAGTAATGATAAATAGGAATCTTAAACCAAGTAAACAATGTGTATTTACTCGAAACAAGGCAACAAAGTACTTGGGTTCACACAAAGGAGTGTTAGTTACAAGACTAGAGAGGTTATCCTAAAACTATATCTTGTACTTGTGAGACCTCACTTGGATTACACGGTTCAATTCTGGTCACCATACTACAGAATGGATATAGAATCCCTAGAGAGAATTCAGAGGAGAATGACAAGACTAATCTCGGGCATTAGGAACCTTGAGTACAGAGACAGGTTAAAGCATCTTAATTTGCACTCCATCGAGAGACGTAGAGTGAGGGGCGATATGATAGAGGTGATTAAATGGAAGTCGTGGCTAAACAAAGGGGACATTACAAAGGTACTCAAACTATCCAACCAGGAGCGAACTCGTAACAATGGTTTTAAATTAGACAAATTTAGATTTAGGCGCGAAATAGGTAAACATTGGATTGGAAATAGAGTAGTGGATGAGTGGAACAAGTTACCGAATATCATCATTAACTCGATTACGCTGGATAGCTTCAAACATAAGTTGGGTGGATATATGAGCAATAGGGGTTGGGTGTAAATGGGACTGTCCAGTATGGACCAATAGGGCCGCTGCAGTTTCCTCCAGTCTTATGTTCTTATATTAACTGAGAGGATTCACGTCAATCAACTAGTTACGAAACAAAACAAAAATGAGCATCAGTTCGTGGATTGAAATGTAAGGCAGGAGTACAGTCGTGTCGTGTTTGTTGAGTGACACAGCGCCGGATGTGAACCTCAAGGACAGGACAGGACAGGTAGGAGGTACTCCGTCTCTCCCTCCCTTCCTCTCTTGACTGAGTGAATCTTGGTCGTGCATGAAATTATTAAACCAGTCCTTTTATTTCCTGCATGATTATATTGCGTTGTATGTATGTATGTATGTATGTATGTATGTATGTATGTATGTATGGTATGTATGTATGTATGTATGTATGTATGTATGTATGTATGTATGTATGTATGTATGTATGTATGTATGTATGTATGTATGTATGTATGTATGTATGTATGTATGTATGTATAGTTTTAACTTTACCTCTCGTGTACGTGATATTAAGCTATTAACTCTACACCACCACCACCAGTATTTTTGCCATTATCTACGCTTGCAAGGATAGCTGTGTTGGCATGATATCCTGGTTGCCATTAGGTAAATTTACAGCAGGCTCTGCGGCTGGCTGACCTTCCGAATGTCAACCCAGCGTTAAGGTGCCTCCACACGTGCGTACAATTTGTCGCCAACATGTGATCGACTAGAGTCTAGACGAAATGAGGCACAGGGCTCCGACCAAGAAGGTTAGGTTCCGACTCTGATAGTGTGCGGCCGCGTGCACTAGATCGGTGTTTCCTGTTGTTGATCACATGTTGGAGACAAAATGTACGCGGGTATGGACTCGCCTTTATCCTTACATAACCTAACCGAATCCAACCTGACATAATATAACCTAGAATTATCTAACCTAACCTCACCTAATGTAGTTTAATCTAAAGAAATCAAACTGAACTTAACCTGACGTTACCTAACCTAACCTAACTTAACCAAAACCAAGCACCTTAGGTATCTAATATACTATAGGACTAGGCGTGTGTCTGTGTGTCTGTTCTGGGCAGCCAAAACGGCACAATCGTTTTTCATGAAACTTGGTGGAAAAATCGCAAAAAATTCGTAGAGTGGAACACACCTGGTCCCATGTCGATGGTTTCTTTAGGAAGGCATTAATTATTGAGTACTTTTGTTATATCACCTCTGTTTAGCCCTGACTTCCATTTATACACCTCTATCATATCGCCCCTCACTTTACGTCTCTCGAGGGAGTGCACATTAAAATGCTTTAACCTGTCTCTGTACTCAAGGTTCCTAATGCCTGGGATTAGTCTTGTCATTCTCCTCGGAATTCTTATTGTGGTTCTTTATCCATTCTGTAGTACGGTGACCAAAACTGAACAGCATAATCCAAGTGAGGTCTCACAAGAGCAAGATATAGTTTTAGGATAACCTCGCTAGTCTTGTAACTAAGACTCCTTTGTATAAACCCAAGTACTTTTTTAGCCTTGTTTCGAGCAAATACACATTGTTTACTTCGTTTGAGATTCCTCCTTATCATTACTCCTAAATCTTTCTCACAGTTGGATTTCTCTATAACAACGTTGTTCATCTGATATCTGGTTTCTCTGTTTGCATCTCCTAGAATAAGTACTTTACATTTGTCTACATTTGTCCACATTAAATTTCATCTACCATTTTTCAGACCATTCGAAATTTTTTTTAGATCTTCCTTTAGTTTTACGGAGTCCTCGTCAGATTTAATTACACGCCCTATTTTAGTGTCATAAGCAAATTTACCTATGTTGCTGTCTGCGCCTATATCTAGGTCGTTTATGTATATAATAAATAATGATAGTCCAAGTACTGAGCCTTGGGGTACTCCACTAGTGACGCTGCCCCAATCAGATTTAGTGCCGTTAATGCTTACTCACTGTTTCCTGTCCTGTAACTATGCCCTAATCCATTTTAAAATATCTCCCCCCAATGACATGAGCCTCCACTTTTTGTATTAGTCTTAAGTGGGGGACTCTGTCGAAGGTTTTGCTAAAATCTAGATATACCACTTGTGAAGCCATGTTGGGAATCATTGATCAACTTGTGCTTCTCCAAGTAATTTCGAATAGAGTTTGAAATTATTTCTTCCAGCAATTTGCGTACAATTAATGTTAAACTGATTGGACGGTAGTTGGAGGATAGTGATCTATCTCCCCTCTTGAAAATCGGTATCACATTCACTATCCTCCAGGATTCTGGTACTACACCCGTTTTTAATGAGATGTTAAACAAATTTGCTAAGGGCATACTAAGCTCTTCCTTACATCCCTTTAATATTCTAGCAAATATCTCATCGGAACCTGGTGACTTAATAGGCTTTAGTGGTAGTAACTCTCGACAGGAGCTGCCATGCACAGGCCAACCGGCCTATTGCAGACTCCTTATTTTCTTATGTTCTTATGTTTAGTTTGCCTATTTGTTTTTTTAACATCGTTACAGGTCATTACTATCTCGCTTAATCCATTTTCTTCACTATCTCTGTATATAGTCGGTGCCTCGGGTATCATGTTTCAGTTTTCGGTGGTGAAAAATGTTGAAAAATATCTGTTCAGATTATTGCTAATTTCTCCGTCGTTATCCGTTAGCTCGCCGGTATCTGACTGTATTAGTCCAATCTTGTCAGGTTCATGACATGAGACTGGTGCACGAGCTGAGACTACTACAAAGACTCAGTAAAGAAAATATAATCCACTTCATAACTCGAGGTGAGGTTATGAAGACTTACCTGGAGGAGAAGCTGTGAGTAGGTGTGGGGGAGTCACCAGGCGCCTCCTAGTTATATATATACCTGTACACCCACCCACACTCCTGGCTCCTCCCACTCCATAATTGGGCTGTCATGAGTGGTCATGATATCCTGTGCGTGTGTGTACGCCGGAACTAGAACAAATCACTATTACAAATACCTTCACTACAAGGACCAAGCAGCGTCGTCACCAAACTGCTATATTGACAAACTCTTTTATCTCCTCTCTGCACAATATCTAAAGCAGTATAATTTGTCATCAGGAGTGAGTTTGGGACCAGCGGTAGGAGTGTGTGTAGGGGGAGGAGGGGAGGGTTACTGAATTGAGTGTATAGGATGTTGGATAGGAAACATTGGATTATTCACCATCCTGGTCTGTGGGAGACAGGAGAGGTGGTCCCCTCCCCCCCTCCCTCTCTCCCCCCTCCCCTCCCTCCCCCATGGTAAAATTCGACCCTGAAACTTTGATGTTCTCGTGTCTGTGTTTGATCATATATATATTAAAATGCGACTCCTGGGCCATATGCGGCTCATGGGCTACATGCTGCTCATGGGCCACATGCGGCTCATGAGCCACGTGCGGCTCATGGGCCATATGCGACACTTGAACCATTTGCGGCTCGTGGGTCACATGCGGCTCATGGGCTACATGCGGCTCATGGGCTACATGCGGCTCATGGGCTACATGCGGCTCATGGGCCACATGCGGCTCATGGGCCACATGCGGCTCATGGGCCGCTGATACCTGGGGTAACCTGTCTTACCATGCTATATGCATCAGATTCACTAAATGGTAGACAATGTCTAAGATTTTACGATTGGTCCTCTCGACTAGACCATTCGAGCTGGGTTGATATGCCGTGATGAAGCATTGTTGAGTGTCGTGCTGTTGGCATAATGGTGCTAGAACTTGATTCCTAAATTCCGATCCGTTGTCGGACAAAAGAACCTTAGGTGTAGTGAAAGGACATAAGAGATATGTCACTATGGTAGACGAATTGGACGGTAACATAGTCAAGGACAAAGCTGACAAGGAAGGTACGAAAACCTTAATTGTTGGTGATTCCCAGGTATGATACCTGGATAGAGCTTTTTGTGCCAAATATCGAAATACTAGGATGAGAGTGTTTCCCAGGAGATGGGGTGTGGGATATAGTTGACAGGATGGACAATATCATGTCTGGTAATGGGAACAAACCCATTATTTGCCTCAGTGCAGGAGGCAATGATATTGGCCGGTGTAGTAGTGAGGACTCCTTGTTAGGTTCAAGACAGCTATCGAACGTCTTTGGGTGAAGGGAGGGATCCCTATCATATGTGGTGTCCTGCCTAGAAGGAGGGTTGACAATGAATGGTTGGCAAGGCAGTTGGTGTCAACGGCCGTTTTGATAGGTATTGCAAGTCAATATCAGTCACATTCTTTGACAACTGGGACAACTTTTACGGCAGAAGGGACCTTTCTGCTTGGGATGCTGTGCATTTATCTAGGGAATGGGTGGAAACCCTGGCTGGCTCTCTCGAGAGGACAGTTCAAAAGATATCGAAGTCTTTAAACTGCTAGGGTAACATGTGAGCACGGGGATGGAAGAGATTGCAGTGGGCGTTGGTAAACAAGCGTAGAGGTTACAGAGAAATAGTGTTTGGAATGATGACAAAACTAAATTAGGCAGGGAGTTAAAACCTAAACGTGACAAAGAGAGGACTCGGGTCACGACTAACTTAGATGTCTACTTCGCAAACAGTAGAAGTATGAGAAATAAAATGGATGAAATCAGGGCGTTGGTATGAACCGAAAAAATAGACATACTGTAATAACATTCACCGAAACATGGATAAACTTAGACTCACGTGAGTTACCTGTCGAATACCAAATTGCAGGTTACAAATTATTCCATACCGAATGGCAGATTAGGAAAGAAGGCAGAGTAGCAATCTATGTCAGAGATAACCTGATATATGAAATCAATAAGGAAATATAAACCAAACTGAATACAGAAACAATTTGGATAGAATTAGCCGATGGTAAGGAAAAATTAATCTCGATAAAGTTAATGAGCGACTTATTTAGGATGAAATGCGCAGGCCATCCAGACATAACAAAATCTGTAACTTTAGTCAAATGGATTGGGCTGACCTTATGGGTAACTCAGAATCAGATAATTTTCTTGAAACAGTTCAGGACAGTTTCCTAAGTCAACATATAACCAAACCCACCCGGGGTAATAATATACTCGATTTAGTTCTGTCAAACAGAGAAAACCTTATTAGTAATGTCGACATAAGGAACGAACTATCTAACAGCCACCACAAAGAACTGAGATTGAAAGTAGAACTTAATGTCAGTCGCAAGGAAAATTCCATTTGTGTCCCAGATTTCAGAAGGGCAAACTTTGATAGATTGAAAAGGCATCTGAGAGAAGAGGTATTACGTTTGAGGGTAAATTACGTGACCTCATGTGAGGTGACCTCACACAATGTACCCACAGAGGGCAACCTCACTTTACCTGGTGACCTGACAACGGTAACCTCACAAAATATGACTGTTGAGGGTGACCTGACCACGAGATCTGAGGTTGACGAGTTCCATAACAATTCTATAGTGAGTTACTTAATGCACAATGGCAGAACATACCATACAGAAAACTCAGATAAAATAATAATGATCCCAAATGGATAAATAATTATTTAAAGAATATTATTAGACAAAGGAAGGCTATTGGCAGGAGAATAAATTCTTGTGAAGTTTAACTCTGAGATTATTATAAAGTTAATGATGATGTTTGGTAACTTGTTCCACTCATCCACTACTCCATTTCCAAACCAGTGTTTACCTATCTCGCGCCTAAATCTAAATTTGTCTAATTTAAAACCATTGTTACGAGTTCGCTCCTGGTTGGATAATTTAAGTACCTTTGTTATGTCACCTCTGTTCAGCCCTGACTTCCATTTATACACCTCGTTCATATCGCCTCTCACTCTACGTCTCTCGAGGGAGTGCGAATTAAGATGCTTTAACCTGTCCCTGTACTCCAGGTTCCTAATGCGCGGGATTAGTCTTGTCATTCTCATCTGAATTGTTTCTATCGATTCTATATCCATTCTGTAGTACAGTGACCAGAACTGAACCGCGTAATTTAAGTGAGGTCTCACAAGTGCAAGATATAGTTTTAGGATGACCTCGCTAGTCTTGTAACTAACACGCCTTTGTATGAACCCTCCCAAGCACATCGTTGTATTGGTTTAAGATTCCTACTTCTCATTGCTCCTAAATCTTTCTCACAGTCGGATTTCTCTATAACAACTGTATATAATTATTAGTAGAATTTTAGATATAATACAGGGTGTCCATAAATGATTACCCTGATAACAGTATGTTCTCATGCTTTAATCAGGGTATTCATTTATGGACACCCTGGGTATTTCTATAACGAATATAGTATGACAGTTCTTTGCATTGATAAATTATTAATAGAAATAACATTGTATTTTATTATTACTGATAGAATTGAAGATTTATTTTAATAATGTTTAGAATAAAATATACCTAATACTGTATTTCTTAGTAGCATGTAATCAGCGCCGAGTACGTCCTCACCCCATGGTGGCTGAAGACGGTGTAATAATAAAAATAATTAACGGTTTATTAAAAGAACATAGCAGCCATAAAGCTGATAATATACAGTTACGTACACTGTAATTGGGTAATGGGTCACTTGATCGGCAAATAATATACAAGTAACAGAAGTGATACAAATATAATATATAATAACTAGGTGGGGGAAGGCTATACTACGGGGCATTTCAACGTAGTAACAGTGCATAAAGGTAAGATTGGCTGGGAGTGAACACACTGGTTGATTACGAGTTGTTGACAACAATTTTACAAAGGATGGGACGGGTGTGTGTGTGTGTGTTAGAGGTACTGTAAGGTTACGGCTACTAACTAATGAGACGTTGTTACCCGCGTCATCAACTTACTATTAAGGAAAATGGTTAAGAAAATCATGGTGTTGCGTTGGGCTTATTAAGACACGGTCAAATGCACTTAATTTATTTAGCATATATGAAGCAGTTATAAAGCAAAGTCCTATATGGAACAACACTGTCTGCAGGGCGTTGTTGTTTTCATCCGGAAGCTGAACAGTGGACAGGTAGTGAACAACCAGTTCTCTTGGGGACTTGTTCAGAGAGCGAGTGTTGTTCAGGGTGTTGGTACCGCAGCCCTGAGACGCGTTCAATGAGCGAGTGTTGTTCAGGGTGTAGGTACCGCAGCCCTGAGACGTGTCCAAGGAGCGAGTGTTGTTCAGGGTGTTGGTACCGCAGCCCTGAGACGTGTTCAAGGAGCGAGTGTTGTTCAGGGTGTAGGTACCGCAGCTCTGAGACGTGTTCAAGGAGCGAGTGTTGTTCAGGGTGTAGGTACCGCAGCCCTGAGACAGGTTGTGTAGAGAAACAGGGCCAAGAGGACGTCACGAGGTAGTGCAGGGTGAGGCGGCGGAAGACAGGTGGCAGCAAGTCAAGTCAGGTCAGGTAATGCTTGACGGGAAGCTCATCAGAGGAGGTTCAGGCCAAAGAATTCGGTCTTCATGTTCCCAAACTGTTCAGTCGACGTTGGTCAAGATGATCACCAGACCGATAACTCAGTCTCCACCATCGTCCACAACCAGTCTGGGCAGCGGTGGTCACGTCACTGCTCATTATGCTGGCGTTGCTGCTGCTGCTGCTGCTATGCACTTTATTACTATCTGTACAGTATATATACGATACAGGTTAATCAGGAAGCCTTAGTTCGTTTAGAAATACGTTGAAACCAGAAAATAATTGTCAAAAAATATGTAATGACAAAACAATGTCCACTTTAGCATTTACTTCAACATATTGGCAGTAAAATGGTAGTAAGCAAGGGTAGTGTTTACTGTACATCAAGTGTAGAAGACTTTTGAAGCTCTTAGCGCTAAAGAAGAGAGAATATTATGTTTAATTGTTGTTACCTGAGAGTGCACCCAGTTTAGAACGATCTAGATACTGGGATCAGCAGTGATATAAGCAAGTTTGCGGAT